TCTGTGAGGCTATGTTTTTATATCTCATATGTTGTGATTAGCAAAGTAGAGGAAAATTTTCAGTTTCAAATTTCTTATGCACTTTCTCATATAATATTATTTTTTTAAAAGAAAAAAATGTGTCCCGAATGCCCGCATAATCAAGGCTTCACAAATATCTATGTACATATTTACACACTCAAACACACACGGGAAGAGAAATGGAGAGAGAGAGAGAGAGAGAGAGAGAGAGAGAGAGAGAGAGAGAGAGAGAGAGAGAGAGAGAGAGAGAGAGAGAGAGAGAGAGAGAGAGAGAAGAGAGAGAGAGAGAGAGAGAGAGAGAGAGAGAGAGAGAGAGAGAGAGAGAGAGAGAGAGAGAGAGAGAGAGAGAGAGAGAGAGAGAGAGAGAGAGAGAGAGAGAAGAGAGAGAGAGAGAAGAGAGAGAGAGAGAGAGAGAGAGAGAGAGAGAGAGAGAGAGAGAGAGAGAGAGAGAGAGAGAGAGAGAGAGAGAAGAGAGAGAGAGAGAAGAGAGAGAGAGAGAGAGAGAGAGAGAGAGAGAGAGAGAGAGAGAGAGAGAGAGAGAGAGAGAGAGAGAGAGAGAGAGAGAGAGAGAGAGAGACAGAGAGAGATGGATAGAGATAGAGATAGATAGATAGATAGATAGATAGATAGAGAGAGAGAGAGAGAAAAGGAGAGAGGAAAATAGCGACAGGCGGATAGATAGAAAAAGAGAAAAAGAAAAACATCAAGAAAACATCGAAAGCAAAAGTACAAGTAAAAAAAAAAAAAAAAAAAAAAAAAAAAAAAAAAAAAAAGAGCGAAAGAGAAGAAGAGGTAAAATAGAGGGGAGACTAGATGAGGGGAGAGGGGGTGAGGGGAGAGGAGGGGAAAGCAGGATGCAGCAGGATCCAAGCAAACAGTCCGACGCAAGTGGCTGGTTGTGAAGATATAAGGAAATGTCAGTCAGCCCTAGAATCCCCCCGGCAAGTTAGTGAAGGGGGGGGGGGGGGGAAGAGGGGGAAAGGGGGAAGTGGGGGAGGAGGGAGGAGGAGGGAGAAGAAGGGGAGAAAGGGGAGAGGGGAAGAAGGGGGAGAAGGGGAGAAGGGGGGAGGGAAGGAGGAGGAAGGGGGAGAGAGGGAGAGAAGGGGAAAGGGGGAGAGGGGAAGAGGGCCCGGGGAATAAGGGGAAAGGGGGAGGGAGAAGGAGGAGGGGGGAGAGGGGGAGAGGGGGAAGAGAAGGAAGAGGAGAAGGGGAAGGCGGCGGAGGAAGCGGAGAGGAGAAGAGAGAGGGACAAGGGAGAAGAGGAAATGAAGAATAGAGGAAAAGAGAAGAAAGAGAGGGGAAGAGGGTGCGAGAAGGGAAGATGGGATAAGAGAGAGAGAGAGCAGAGGGAAAAAGAGGGTAAAGGAATAGAGAGAAAATTAGGACAAAAAGAGAAGAGAGGAGTGGTTAGGAGGGAGGAAGAAGAAGATATAAGGGCCGGGGAAGGGGAAAGGCAGAGAAGAGGAGTGGGGGAAAAGGAGGAGGGGCGGGCGAGAAATGAGGGGCAGGGAAAGAGCAGAGGGGAAGAGGGGAGGGATAGGGGGAGGGGTGGAGAGGTGAGGGGAAAGGGGAGTGAAGAGAGAAAGGGGTGAGAGTGAGGGGAAGAGGGGAGGGGTGATGAGGAGGTGAAGGGAAAGGGGGAGAGAAGGGAAAGGGTGAGAGGTGAGGGGAAACGGGAAGTGCAGAGAGGAGAGGGGAAAGGGGGAGGGAGGCGTAAAGGGAGGACAGAACAACATAAGTTATAGGTTATCATCGTCAGGCTGAATTGTACCCTTAAAGTGTGCGTTGGGAGTGAGGGGGGGGGGGGAGAGGGGGAAGGCAGGAGAAAAAATATAAGTAAAAGAGGGGGGGAGGATGTGGGAATAGAACAGGGTTAGATTGACAAAAAGACAGGAGGACAAGAGGACGAACATACACACACACACACACACACACACACACACACAACACACATCACACACCACATCACACACAACACACACAGCACACACACACACTATATATATATATATATATATATATATATATATACATATATATATATATATATATATAATATATATATATATTATATATACTATATATATATATATATATATATATATATATATATATATATATATATAAATATATATCTACTACATTATACATATATATATATATATATATAATATATATATATATATATTATATATATATATATATATATCACACACACACACACACACACACACACACACACACACACACACACCACAACACACACACACATCACACACACACACACACACCACACACACACACACACACACACAACACACACACACACAACATCACACATTATATAATATGTGTGTGTGTGTGTGTGTGTGTGTGTGTGTGTGTGTGTGTGTGTGTGTGTGTGTGTGTGTGTGTGTGTGTGTGTGTGTGTATGTGTGTGTGTGTGCAAGAGAGAGAGTGTGAGAGAGAGTGAGAGGAG